GGGGGGTGGTGGGCGCCCCACCCGCCTGTCGCCGCTCCGGTTGCCCGGGGGAGCGGGGGCGGGCCCCGAACGGGCCGCCGTCAGCGAGGGGAGCGAGGACGCAGGCGTTAACGGCGCTGCTTTAATTCATTTTTAAAATATAACATTCGTGAAGTAATTAATGCCAAAAGAAAATCCCCCAAACGCAAGCAAGCCCCGACACGATTAGCATTTCTGGTGATTGCCCGAGATTTGATTGGTGCTCTTCATTGCCAAGGGCCTTCTCTTACATTTAGCCAGCCAGCAACGTATGTTTCTAATTATTAATTTTAATAGCAAGTATTTTAATTCCCTGTTACATTTTCACATCCATGAAATATTTGAAACCAAGCACATTCCTTGTTACAAGTCTAGAAAAATGTATTTAAGTAGCCATTGCTGTGCACGCCTCTTTAAATATTTAGCCAAAAAAAAAAAATTAAAAAAAAAAAAAAAAAGACAACGTTTAATCTGTTTTAAAAAACAAAACCCGGTGAGGATACAAATACAACTCTAACCCCGGGCAGCAGCAGTTCCCAAGCGGTCAGGGAGCGCTGCCCCGCTGAGGGACGCCCCTCCACCTCCCACGCTGGCGGGGCAAGGGGGGACCCCGCCGGCTCCCCGCTCCGGCTGGGGGGGGCATCCTGGCGTCTAATGGGGAAAAAAAAAAAAAAAAAAAAAAGAGAAAATACTTAACATCAAAATGCTCTAAGTACCACTCCATTAAACCACTTTTTGCTTCATTCTCCTTGGTCGTTGGGTTGCACAGTATTTCAAATAAAGAAGGGAGAGTCAAAGCTGCGGTCAATGACACCAGAAAAAGTATTGTAAAAAAAAATATCAAGATTTTTATACAGGTAAATCTAAGGAACTACTAGGGAAAAAAGCACTACATCTAACCTATGTGCATTGTCCAAAGTAATTTATAACTTGAGAAGCTCTCTTCAAATTCATTAATGAACACTTACCAAACATGTCCAGGATTTTATTGACAGCCTCTTGATTTACACTGTAAGCGAATCCATTGGACCTACAGTTAAAAGAAAAAACCCTGTTTCTTCAATGAGTATTTCTTATTCCAGTCATTTCTATACAAATAATCTGAACTAAACATTTTCATAATTACATCATATTTCTCATCCTACCAGCACACACGTTAATTTTAAGGACATGGCAGACTTCTAAGCAGATTGTACTCAAGGACAGTTATGGTTTCTTTATCCTTCCTCTTGTTCACAGTCCCCATGTCTCTCTCATCTTGATTTTTATTAGGGACAACTGCAGGAACAGAATGTTTGTTTGTTTTCAATCATATAATTTTCAAGAATATCTCTCTGAAACCGAACCAAATCTTCAGCTGATGTCAAATTCTGTTGCACTCAATTGATTTATTCCTTTTACCTGAAAGGGGAATTTAGCTATAGACATCTATTTAGCACACTGACATGGCAGGGGATGTAACAACAACAGTACTTTCTGCACTTCCCAAGAACACTACAAACCTTAACCAATTCATTGCCTGAACAGAGGCATAAGAAAATAGCTCAGAGTTGTCAGCTGCCAACTACATTCCGTGGAACACTCAAGACAATGTGGGCACTTGTTGGATCCGGGACTTCCATGGTTATACTTTTAAATACAGTAAGAAGCACCACAACACAAATTAATTTGATAACAGGAAATGCATGTCACCATATTTTTGTATAACAATAGCTGTTTTTTAATCTTAGGCTTATAAACCATGAACTGTGTTAAAAGACTTCAATGACTAAGCTTTCAGTTAAATTGCTTTGAGATGTCAGTGCTGAAACCTCCCAAAAATTAGTAGTATCCTGATTATTGCTTACATTGCCTGATGAGGCTCATTGTCACACACAGAGTAGCTCTTCTATTGAAAATAAGCAGCACTGTTCTCTTTGCTTATCAAAGCGTTGGGAGAAACTTTGAAAAGCAAAAGGCACAGGGAGTCAGAAGAAGCCTACTAGTGAGTTAATGAATTTTGTTGCTCGGTCCCACAGGAGTGTTTTCACTATGAGGGGGCGCCACTCTGCTTCTACGATGTGTACAGAAAGGAACCACCTGGGTCTTCACCACGACTCAGGTCAACCCAACCAACCTTCACCTGACTGGTGCTCAGGCAGTCGGGGTTCTGCTGTTCTGCTTCATAGCAATAGCTCAGTCATTAAGAGTTGCCAGTAAGACCACACACTGACTTCTATGCACCAAAAAGCCAGTGTTACTTACACTTTCTTCTTCTTCACTGCACCTAGTTGCACAAGAGCTGCTAAGGCATTTTTCTGCATGTCAGAAGACAGTGCTTCATAACACTGTGTATTCCCTACAGAGAAAGCAGAAACACAATTAAAAGTTTTATCACTATCCATTAACAGGCTACGCTTGTAAAATCATATTGCATAACAGCTGTACACACCCTTCTCAAGAAGCTGAAAAACGAAGTTGCGGACTCCAGGTATAAACTGCTTCTCGGTAAAGGCTTCTTTTGTTTCCTTTGAGAGGTATCTGAAAATTAACTAACATTTTAAAAAAAAATTAGCACTTCTATCCTTCTGATTGTTATGAATTGTTATGAATTACAAACAGATGTGCCTTCATAAGTAAGTAATACTGTTACACTTTGAGAAGTGTAGGAGAGGAACTCAAAAGGTATCATTACATAGGGCATCTGAAATTTTTATTACTGTTTAACAGGCATGAGAATCCTAATATTAAAATAAGATTCAATATTACTATAATAGTTACCTTAGACATTAATTGAATATTCCTGTTCTCACAATCACTGTGTTCAGTGTAATTTTTTTAAACCAATACCTTAAAACAGATGGGAAAAACTGGGCAAATGAGTACAGTTCAGCCCAAGTCATACACCAGATCATTAACAGATTCCACTAGGTTCAAATGTCTACAATCCCACCAATCTGATGCTGATATACCCGAGATTTTAGCCTCCTGTTTTTCTATACATTGTTTATTACAGGAACGTAAGTGTTTAGTCTTATTAAAAACTTGGAAAACCAGAAGAATTTGAAGAGATATGGATGCAATTAATGACTCCCAAAAAAGCTATCAGATATGAGATGCAAACTCATTTCTGCACCTGGCAGGACAGCCCACATAAACTGAATTAAGCAAGAGCACCTCATAAGAACAATGAACCTGGTAGCAGCACACTCCCTGGGAAACTCATAAAGCCACAATGGGCCATCACATTACAAAGTAGTTTCTGCTTTAGTCAATTGGAAAAATCTGAGTCAAAAGCTGAAATCAAGATCCTGGGGGGTGGGGGATGTGATGTTTAAATATTTATTACTACTATTTCTCAACCCTTACACTCCCCAGCCATGAAAACAGTCGCTATTTATATTGCAGAAGTATCACAGCTCTCCTAGTTTCCCTATAAAACAAAGAAGAAAAAAGATAATTTTCTGAAGAACAACATACCTGATAACCTTCCACAAAAGGTCTGAACATAGCTGACAAGAAAGACACTATAACACTTCCTTTGTCGGTAGGGTAGATTTCCTGTT